CCCCCCCCGCCGGCGACCACCGGGGCCTCTGGCGGGGCCTCGGGGCGCCCCTCGCCTTTCGGGGAAGGGGTCGAGTAGGGCGGGGAGGGCTCCGGGGGAGCCGGGGTCGCCGCGAGATCGAAATGGCTTTGGAAATGCGGGCTGGAATCTCGGCTTGGGTGGGGGTGGGGAGTGTGCCGGCGAGGCGTGGGTGGGGCGGCGTGGGGGCGAGTGCAGGTTTGTTCCTCCGCTCCCACCTCCCTCCACCCCGCCCCCTGGCTTTTTTGCAGACCTTTCGTTTAATTCCTATTTTCCCCTCTGCTGCAAGCCTCTAGGGTGTGTATATATATATATACATCCAGGTATTTTGCACTGAGAAGGAAGAACGCTGCATACAAGTTAAAATACAATGGGGGCATATGTGTACCCCCCAAACACCCCCCGTGGTCCTTTATATTTTTGAGACTAGAGGGCTGAATTTTTTTGTTTCGAACCATCTCCTTTCTGTCTCTTACCCTTTACGACCAAAGGGTGCAAGGCCTTTAACACCCAGCAAGTTGCATGAAAAACATAATTTAAACTTTGCGTTGTGCATGTTAGCTTTTGTGCAGATGTCCTTTTCTCAAAAGGGTTTCGTACAGTCGAAGAGTTCGTTGAAAGAGTTGTGGAGTTCAGTGATAGAAATAGCCAAGGGAGAGAGATTTAGGTTAAAGCTTGGGGCGGGTGGGGGTAGTGGGAAAAGGATGTATCCAGAAAACCAGGTTGGAGATGTTTAGCCAGGAATGGGATGCTTGTAGGAAGAGAGAGGTGATTGCTTTGAGGATGATTTTGTACATTTTGGGGTTGCTGAATATCTTCCTTTATCTAGTATATTAATTCCAGGTTTAGATTCCGTTCCTCCGGCGATCCCAAGACGTTTTCACATCCCTTTTCGGTGCTTGGAAGTGGAAATAGGAACATTCCGAGACTAAACTGATTTTCCTAGCTTTTTCAATATTTAGATAGATAATTTAACGTTTGAAAAAGTTAACGTGTTCGATTGACTTACGGTTTGTTGGAAGCAAGTTGCTCTTTGGCCTTATTGAATAATGAAATTAGATTAAAATTGTTTTGCCCAAGATGATGGCAAATTAGTAAAATGCATTCTTTGCCAGGCCCTTTGGATTCTGAGGGGTGAGGTGAAGGCAGGCCGCACAGGCTTCCTTTGACAGTCTCCCCAGCAGCTTTCATTTCGGTTTCTTTTCCTCTCTGTCTGGAGCCGGTGATTTGCTGGTCATGAATGCAAAGAAATGGGTGTTGTGCTTGCCGTGTGCGCGCTTGGGCGATAGGTTCACATGAATCATTACTCCTCAGGCAGAAATGTTCCCGAAGTTTTCTCTGCGTTCTCTGTTTCATGGTAGTTTAACCTTATTAACTCATCTGCAGGCTTTTGGTACACTTAAAGGAAAACTCTTAAAGTTTTGGTATTTATTGTTTTCTTGTAGGTCGTGCTTGAATGTAAGGCTCTCACTGTATTTGAGGGTGAAGGAAAATGGACGGGAAATTCTGAACATAATGCACAGTGATGACCATAGAATGTCTGCATCTAAATATTTCATACCTGGAATCTTTCTCTTTTTTTTAATGCAGTAGGAACTATTGGGGACTAACCTTTTTCCAAATTGGTTCTCTTGGTGGTAGGCATATGTGTGGGTTGTTAGTATCATGCCAACCCTGGATGCAATCTCTGTGTTTACGAGAGTAAACATGGACAGAACTCAGTTTTAACTGGTATGTTTTCTTTTTCCAGGAGCTGGAGGAGGGAATGATATTCAGTGGTGTTTTTCTCAGGTGAAAGGAGCAGTAGATGATGATGTAGCAGAAGGTAAGAAAGCATTTAATAATGTAGAACTTGAATGTAGAATCTTTTCAGAATCGCAATTACTGAAGATTTCCTTGAAGCTGAGTCTATTATAGTTTAAGAACATTTTGTGTTTATTGTCCAAGAAATGGAAGAATAGTTTTTAAAAGTAAGTTTTCTGAAAAATAGTCAAATCACTTTTGTTATTTATGTCTAGGCTTATTTTTTTTTTTTCCCTAATGTAAAGGAAAGGAGTAGTAATAACGACACATGTAAAACTATCACAAGAGGGCCGGCCCGGTGGCGCACTGGAGAGTGTGCCGTTTGGCGCTCCCGCCGAGGGTTCGGATCCCATGTGGAGACCGGTTCCGCTCACTGGCTGAGCGCGGTGCGGGCGCAACACCGAGGGTTGCGATCCCCTTACCGGTCAGTAAAAAAGACAAAAAGGAAAAAAAAAAAACTATCACAAGAAAGCTCTGAGGTCCAGATGATAATTTCTTTGTTACATAAGTTCCACGTAGGAATCAGTTGGTGATGCATTTTCACATTTGTGAATTGTTTTTAGGTAATTAAGTTGAAGTAGGTGCCATGAGCATTCAGCTCAGAAACATTCTTGATGGTGCCGCTTAAATATCTATGGGAAGATTTTTAGCTGCTTTTGAGCTTGCCTACTTTGGGAGTGTGGTGTTGATTGGCATATTCTGTGAAGAAATGCTGGCTCAAATTACTCATTTTATTGTCTTGCGGGGATTGATTTAGGTGGATAAGAAAATAACAGTGCTGTGAATATACAGCTTGTCTTCGGGGAGCTTATATTCTTGTGCAGTTAGAAACTGTATGTTCAGTTGAAGTGCTTTCATTCCCCTTCGCCTCCCAGATTTGTTAATGTATTCTAAAAGTTTATCTAAAATTTTGGAACAGGTTTTGCATTAATTTGAGATGGTCTTAGGCAGTGGAGGCATTATTTCCTATAAGGTAGTTGCATTATTTGATTGTTCAGAAATATTATGTAAAGTTCAAATTTTAATAGTGTTCTGTGCCTTGAATTGCAGCAGGAATTTTCCAGACAAAATTCAGATAAATTAAAACATGTACTTTTGGTTTTTAAAAATGTATCTAGTGAAAATTTATAAATCTGTTTTCCTCATATTAAGGTTATATGTCTGGCCTTCCACCTTCAGGGTACTGTTTGTGTTGAGGGTTATTCCAGGTGGTGATAGGATGATGACTTTCTGGTGAGCCAGCTGAATGCTTATGTTTGCTTGTGTCCATGTCATCTTTAACGAAGTGTCTGATCAGAGTGTGGTGAATCATGAATCCTACCAGAAGCCCACCGGCATACATTATCTTCATCATATTTTACAGAGCTCTCGAGTTTCTTTTATGTTGGCTTCCCGTCTGTTTTTTAGATGAGAAACTAGAAACTTAAAGAAGTTAAGAGGCTCACTGATGGTCACACAGATCCTGTGAGTCTAGGTTTCAGGTGAAACCTGTGGTGTTGGACTTGTTTAGAGAAATAAATCCTAAATTCGAGGGAGGAGTCCTGTATTACTCATTTTGTACCTGTTGAATAGTAGGCACTCGGATACTGGATCATTAGTTCCATGCAGTTGTGTAATATTCACCAAGTTATGAAAGTGCTGTGTACTTGGAAAACATTCCTTGGTTGAGTTCCATTTATTCCCTTTATCAAAGTTCTCTTTAATGCTGAGCACTGAGGGTATGTGGTGTCTGGAACATAATCCCTGCTCTTGAGGAGCTCAAAGTTTGCATGTTAAACTTTAGGTAGAAAGAACACATGGATTTTATTTAATCAGAAGAAATTCATGTTCCAAATTGAACATCACTTACCTAACTGAACCAAATGATAGTTTATGATAGATGTGGTGAACCAGTTAGAATTTTCTTCTGCTAACTCTCAGTAGTTGCATTTTTCTACTGATTTGTTAAGTCATTTTCTTTTGAGGTTGTTAAATATTATCTTAACATACAGTTCATTCCTAGCATCTTCAAGTGCTGAGACTTGGTATGCATATTTTAGTAAAAACATAACTTATTCTAGTACCTATATCTACACAAATGTGTTAAATATAAAAAGCACCCAATTTTTTCAAATTACACTGCTTTAATTTGGGTATTTTTGCATTCTGTAGTTTGCATCTCATGGTCTTATTTTACTAAAGGGAAGCTTTGTTTTCTGAAGTAAAATGAGGTTATAAATACATTTTCTCCCTAGGTTTAGATTATAATTTCTAAACAGTTTGCACGCTCAACCTTTAGCTTAGCTTGCCTGTTTTCTGTTAATAATAGAATCTCCATTTCTCTCCCATCAGAGGCTCCAATTTGTCTCCCCCTCTACATGCAGTGAGCTACAGGGCTCACCATTTTTACTTCTGTAATGCTTTAATCTTTTTATTTCCACTTTCACCTTTCAGTTTGGCACTCTCTGTCATCAGGATTGCAGTACCTTCCTAAGTGGCGCTCTGCTTTTGTCCTATATTTTGCTTCTGACTTAATCTTAAGTGCAATCCCATTTTATTGTTTTCCTCAGGAATCTTCAGTGGATCACTGTATCCACTGGGTTAGGAATTAGGTTCAGACATTTCAGCCTGGAATGTGTGGCCTTCTGCAGTATGGCCCCTACTTCTGTCAGTGTATTTGCTACTATGGCTAATGATCCAGCAGTAAGTGGATACTGTTCTTCAAACAAGCTAGGGCCGGCCCGGTGGCGCACTGCGCTAGTGCGCCACTTGGGAAGCGCGGCGGCGCTCCCAACGTTCCATGTGCAAACAAAGAGCACCCAGCTCTTACGGCCATGCCAGCATTGTGGCAGGTCTGGGTGGCAGACCCTCCTGGGAACAGGCCTCAAAATCAAGCCTCAGAGGGGCTAGCCCGGTGGCGCACTGGATAAGTGCGCCACTTTGGAAGCGCGGCGGCGCTCCCATCGAGGGTTCGGATCCCACATACAGACCGGTTCCCGCTCACTGGCTGAGCGAGGCGTGGGGGCAACACCAAGGGTTGCGATCCCGTTGCCGGTCCCGGTCCGGTACGAGGGCGACACTGAGGGTTGCAAACCGTTGGGTTGCAAACCGTTGCCGGACACGGAAAAAGACAAAACAAACAAACAAACAAAAAAAAAACAACAAGCCCTATATAGTCTTACTTTTAGGTATTTGTTTTTGGTGTTCCCACCTTGGAATGCCTGACATTCCTCCCGCAGTTCTTCTCTAATCAGAATCCTGCTCATCCTTGAACTAATACCTATGTTCCTTTTAGTTAATTACCTCTTTTGGAAATACATATTTTTCAATCTTCCTTTATAGCACTTTGTTACATAAATGTATTTAGTAGCCCAAACCTCTGCTGTTACACTGTAAGCTTAGTGCAGAACTTAACTTATTTTTTGCTCTATGCAGGCCATCCTATATAAACTGCTGTGCCTGGAACAATGCCTGGCACACAGTAGGTGTTATGTATTTGTTGAGTGAAGGAATATAAATGTTACTGTTATAATTAATGTTTTTTAAACAAAATCAGTTTAACAGTTTTATTTTAACAGTTTTATTTGAGCAAAGAATGATTCATGAATTGGGTAGCACTCACCGGGAGAGGTTCAGAGAGCTCCCTGTTAGGTCTCAAAAGGGAAAGCAAACAGATGAAAGATGGAATGGTAGAGATTTATTTCTTGCAGTCATGGATTTGTTAACTTGACAGGATTTATAACTGAATTGATGGTATACGCATATACAGCTGAATAATACAAGAAGTCAAGAGACCTTGGGTTTTTACCCTAGCCCCAACACAAACTAGTGTATGTCACTTTGGATAAGTACTCCCAGGGTGTTCCTGTATGCTTAGCCATAAAATGACAGGACTTGATCGGGTGATTTCTGCTGTTCTTTATACTCTAATCTTGTTAATTCCCAAAGATATCTTAGAAAGAAACAGCCCACCATTATTATTACTGGCAAGTTAAATTGTTTGGTATGTTGGACTCTCTAGAGACTTTAGTTTAAAAATGAGTCTTTACTGGACTTAGCTATTCAAGGGTCAGAAGTTTTCATTAAGTACATTACAGAGCTACGGTAGAACTTAAAACATTTGACTATATACTCTCATTGTCTTTTGGCCCATGAAGGCCCTTCCAGAACATTGACAACTTATATTGGGATGCTTACTCTATTACAGTCTTCTTCAGGCACCCTAAGTAGTTTACCTTTGGTATAGCTACTTGTCTGGGGGGAGGGTGAGTAAAATCTCTGTCATTCTGATAGTCTTGTGTCAGAAGTTTTTATTTCAGTCTTCGTGGTAGCAGTAACAGCATTATATAATTTTTATGCTTTTAATTTTTCTCTTATTGACAACTTTTTGCCAGGAAATGGTAAGAAGTACAGACTCGGGTGCTAGGCTACATGGTTTGAATCCTTCTTGATCACTTATTAGCTGTGTGATCTTGGGCAACTTAATTTTTTGTGTCTGTTTCACCTACTATAAAATGAGGATAACAATAAAACCTGTCATATAGTGTTGTTTTGATGATTAAATGAGTTTATACACAGAACAGCACCCAGCACATAAGAGCCTTACAAGCATTTAGCTATATTACTTGAATGTTTATAGCAAGTAAGGAAGTGTAAGGTAACCAGGGAATTGTCATTAATGGCTACCAAACATTTCTTAGCCCAGGTGAAGGAAATGATATGTGTATGTGTTCTATACATATTCTTTGATTCCACTAATAAGAAAGTTCAAAAAACATTCAAAACTAAGCTATAGGTTTAGAGACACACACGAAGCTGGTAAAACTATAAAGAAAAGCTACAAAGTAATCACTCTAAAAGCCAGTATAGTGGTTCCCTTTAAGTGGTAGGAGGGAATAGTGATGGAGAAAGGCTGGGGAGGCTCTTGGGAGGCTGTCTTGATCTGGATGGTGGTTGTGTAGATGTTTGTAATGACTGGTTAACCTGGACACTTTTGTTTTTGATTTTCTTTGTTATGTTTTCACAATAAAAATACTTTTTTAA